AGGGGGGGCGGAAGGCGCTGAGGGGGAGCGGTGCGGGCCGGCGGCGGGCAGCGAGCCAGGGAAAGGGCGAGGGCGGAGAGCAGCGGGGCATGCCGTCTTCGTCCTTCTTTCTCCCCGAAGGGCCGAGCCCCTCGATGTCAGCTCTTCCCCTGCGTGCGCTGCAGCGCTTCTGTCAGCGCTCGCATGTTTAAAATCCCGCGTTTTAAAACTTGACTCGGACTCGAGAGTTTATTAGCTGTGCAAAAAATAATAGCTAGTTGGTAAAAGGATTAAGTTGGATTGCGAAGTGCCTTGTTTGTGTTAAAATGTTATAAACTCGTTTGAAAACACCTAGATGTTCATAAATGCATGTTATTTGAAATTAATGCTGTGGGGTACTTCTAAATAGGAAACTTGTATTACTGAAATGATAAAGAATGTTTTTTGACCGTGTGAGTTGCTTGTGTTTGATATGAATACAAGCATTAAAAACTGTACTTCTCTTTTTGTAGGTTTCATGGTGAGGGGTATCAAGAGGGATACGCTGAAGGCAGCCACGTTGGAGTTATTGAGGGAAGGAGGTATGGATCACTCCACGGTGCCAAGATTGGGTCTGAGGTAAATGGGAAAATTTTAGAATCACAAGAAACTCACTGTAGCACAGAAACTGTTGAGCAAAGCCTGGTATGGTAGGTGGTAGCCTGAGGCCCAAGGGCTCCATTCTAGGATCATTTAAAGCAATTTGTTTTAGATTGTGCTGAACCAGTTGATAGCATCACATAGGAAAAAAAAAAAAAACATTGAAAGTATTTAGCGTTTAGGAGATGAAAATTGAATACATTCCATAAACTTCATTGACGTTATGCACTTTAAATTGTATAATGAGGAATTTTTTTTGAATGAGACAGTCCATTTACACTCTCTAGTCATAGGTACATAGGCAGAATGTCTTTTTTTAAATTATATTGCTTTGTATGTGTCCAAGAGGGCCCATAAAACTAGTTTAAAGGTGATGTTTTGATTTGAACGTTTTTAACGATGGTTTCACATTTCCTGAGTTTATTGGCTGTATGGAATTCTGAATTTTTTTTTCTTTTGAAAGGGAGGAAGAAAGGAGAAAAATATGAACAAAGTCGAAGAAGCTTGCTCAGAACAAACTGACAATGCATGTAGTGTTTATTTACTTTTTATAACACAAAACAGGCTAGAGGCCCTCCTGGGTCATCTGTGGCTCAGTGTAAGACAAGTAGAAGATTCTCAGTTAGTCAAGACTTGACTCATCAAGGCTTCAGGGAGCTCAGATATGAGAGAACCGACAAAAGCATGAAATGTTGGTTCTCCACCCAGATTGCCTCATAAAGGGGGAAATTATGGGTGTCTCAGCTGCACTCTTATTTCTAATACTGGTAGTGTTTGTTGGCTGAGGTACAATTATTTTTCAGTAGGTAGAGTCAGCTCCATTTATTGCTAGATTCACATGATGCCATGCCTGACTCAGTAAACCTTCCTGAAAATGAGTCAAGGTGTCTCAGTGCCACTCTGTCATCTTGTCCGTCCAGCTCAAGTCTATAATGTTGCATGTTCAGTGCTGCATAATGTGGTTAAAGTATTTTTGGACCTGAGCTGGTCTTTTTCAAGTTCAGCTTTGATGTGGAAGCTGTACTACAGGATTCTTAGCAGGGCTTATTTCCAGTACGGCACCACAAATCTCAATCTGTTTGGTCTGTTTGAAGCTCCTTTGGTAATTTTACAAGCGCTCTTTCAGGTTTAGGAAGTTAATTAACTGGAAAAAGAACACTGGCAATGGTGTTGGTGCATTATGAGGTGAAAATGGTAAACTGTAAAAAATTCAGAAAGATGTCTATTATAAAATTTTGTTTTACGTTTGGGCATGATACGGAAATGTATAGTGATGTACTGTTTTGCTACCTACACTACAACTGTGGCGTTCCAAGAAGATACTGTTAGACAGTAGCCCCAAAACTGGATGCCTAAGATAAAAGTGTGATAGAGGAGTGTTCTAACCTATTAATATAGGGAAGTTCTGGAGGATGGTAAGGTTGTAGGCAGTCATGTTAAATGAGTGAGAGATTGACCTGGGTAATCTTAGATTTCTCAGCCTGTTATGTGTCTTGAGCAAAATCACAGATCTGTTACTGGCCTTGCCAGAGAGAGAATTAAAGGAAAATAGCGTAATTAAAATGTATTACAATGTATCCGTGTAAGATCACATCCCTCAGAGGGGCTTAGAAAGGGTATGGCTTTGGGCTCAAGCAAGAGATTGGCACTGCCCCCCCTCTGGTGGAGCTGTGCTAATTATGCACAGAAGCCTGCTGCTGAGTGTCCAGGGGCTAGGTGTGTTTTACGACAGTAGTTTGGGTTTACAGCTGTAGTACAACTTTGAAACAAATCTGTCAGTTGTCTCCATTTACCTTGGATCTCTAAGCAGTTTTGGTGCATTAAAATTAAATTGCTATTAGAAGAAAATAAACTGGAAGCTTCACTTGAAATATGCTCCAGCACTTAATGGGATATTAATCCTAAACTTATGTTTGGGCCTCATGAAGGACCTCCGCTGTGTATTTTAACAAACATAGGCATCCCAAACGCTCCTGCTGTACTCTGAAGTTGGTTTGTCAGCTGCAGGAACTTCCAAGTCCTACAGGGTTTTGTTAAGTTTAAAGGTCAGATGTATGTACATGCACGCATACAGACCAATGTGGGATTAGGCAGCAGTTTTGGACTTAAGCTCCTCAAACTCAGCTAAATTTTGCTTTAGGTGTCTGCATCGTTTCTCTACCAACATTAAGTCACTTTTGAAAGGGACTCCAGCTATCTCGTCCAGCAGGTGCTTTGAAAAACTTTATCTACGTTCCTATTTCATTTAGTATCCAAAGTCATAGTGAGAAGTTCTTCTGGCAGCAGGGCTAGCTTCATCAGCTCCTTGTGCTTCTTTCTGACTCCATGCTACTGTCTTCAGTTAGACTAGTAAAATTATTTCAATCATACTCTCAAAAAAGATAATTTCCTGCTTCAGTTAACTTGGCTGCTCCCTCATTTGAGCTGGTACAGGTGTTTGTGGGGGCTATTTGCTGGCACTGCTGCAAAAACCAATCTTATCCAAACATCCTAAATAGGCAGGTTGTTTTCTAGTTATATCCCCACTGCTACAGTTTACAGTCATAAATTTGGGAGTTCAAAGCATATAAAATAGGCTAGTGTTTTTCAGAATTGCTGTTTGTGCTGTGTTTTAAACTGTAGTACGCAACTTCAAGGACTCAACTGTTACCCTGCTGTAATTTACTGAACTTTCCAACACAGAAACTTATTTGTGTATCCAGTGATTTGTTTCCTGAAGAGTGAGCTAGAATGCAATGCTTTTTTTGTTTGTTTGACTTTGTGCGTGTGTTTGTGTGTGTATATCCCCCATGGCATTCTTATAAATTCACAGGTTGGCTGCTACCTGGGGTTTACACTTACATGGCGGTGTCTGCTCCACAAATGCACAGATGAAAAGAACAGGTAGGAATAAAAATAATTGTTATTCCTTTAATATTGATTCAAATTAAGGTGTCTGGTTTTGGCCCCCCCAGTATCAATAAACAGAAGGAGGGTGAGCAGAGGGGCCACTGGGGTGTTATCCTGTGCTGGGGCATATGATACCGAAGAGAGTGTAAGGGAACAGAGTTTCTTCATCCTGGAGAAGAGAAGACAAAGGAGGTATCTAATTGTACTACGTAAGGGGAAGTTCTAGATAAGATGGAGACAGAGTGTTTGCAGAGGTGCACAGTGAAAGAACAAAAGGCAGTGTTTACAAGTTGCAACAGGTGAAATTCTGATAGGAGGTAAGAAGGAAGTTCTTCCCAGTGTGGGTGGTTAAGCCCTGGGACAGATTGCCCAGAGAGGTTATAGGAACTCCATCCTTCTAGACTTTCAAAATATGATTGGAGATGGCCGGGAGCAACCTGATCTGATCTAGCTTTGAAGTTAGCCCTGCTTTGGGCAGGAGGCAGACTAGATAACCTGTAGACATCCTTTTCAACCTATGTTTTTCTATGACTTCTGTGGCTTTTTTTCTCCAAATGGAGAATAATGCATGTTTATAAAGTAGTAATAACACTCAGCACTTCTACATCACTGCAGTCCAGTTTGCTAACCATTAACAGAGCACTTTTTCATTATGTAAAAGCTGTGATGCTGACATATGTAGCAAGTAAGGGTGACTTGTTAACCGCTACACAATATTCTTGACTGGAAACTACAATAGATCTTTGGTGAGGAAGTGCCAAGGTTGTACTTGTCTGGTTGCTAACAGTTGATGGTAGAGTTGGACCGCGCCTTCAGAAGGTACTGCGTGCAGAATCCAGCTTATAGGCTACATGCATCTCCAGCCTATAGCTAACTGTAGCTGGCTTGCACTGTGCTTTCACTGAGTGATTTGTATACTTTTGTGCAAAATTTGTTACGATGGGGTGTCTTGTCCTATCCGTACGTGTGCGTTTGCTATTGTTGATTCTATAGCTTCCATAAGACTGCTGGCAAAGAGTAGATACTGTTCCTCTAAAAAGAAGAAAGATATAGTCTTGCATTATCTTGGGCCTTATTCTAGTAGCTTACAAATCTGGTGAAAGTGCTGAAGTGGTTTGTTAGATTCTGTGCCTTACAGAGGAAAGTACTATATGCTTCATGGCATTCGGAAACTCTAAACGTATTTAGCTGGACAAGAAACCGGCTCCAGGTTCATTTTCTGAAGATTAAATGATTTATTTCCTAAGGATACTTTAATTTCAGTTTGGTAAAACGTTAGCATTCTTAACAGTCAGTTTCTGAAAATTACTAAATACATGGTTTAATCCCTATCTAGTATTTTTATTTCAGTTAATTCTTTTTTAATTTTATATGACTGGACAGATACAGTGTTTTCCTAACCTGTTAGCAAATTGTGTTGTCTTTGAGATGCCTTAATAAAACACAAGACCACATTATAGGAGGATGCTGGAGAGAATTTCATTCACGAGCGGTATTTAGAATTTCAAGGACCTGTGCTGAATGTTCACTGTTCAGTCTGGAAATATTTTTATCCTCTAATTAGCATCGTTCATTCTCAGAGATACGGTCATCCCAACATCCAAGACTGACATTAATGTTACATTGCTGTCGTGCATTTTTCAGGGAGCTGCAATTCACTGTCAGTAATAGCTATAATTATAGGCTCTGTTTCCCAAAGCCAGAGAGACATGCAAGGGTGTCAGTGTCTCATGAATAATTCAGAAGTATTTGATAAGGCTGAAAATTTTTGCCTTCCATATCTGGAATTTTATGGCCTCTGCATAATTTTTTTTTTCTGACTGCAGCAGAAATCCATCTTGCTAATTTTTTTTTAATTTCTCCAGTTTGCCACACAAGTCTATATTGTGCCAAAAATGGATGGCTTTCCTTTGGTTAGGTGGAACTGTAATTTTTTTTTCCTGTCCAGTTTTGATAAAGTTAGCTGAAAGAATTGCCACAGTATTCTCAGTCATCTTGATAGGTGTTTTGGTGAACTTTCTTACTGCGTTTCTTTATTTCACTCAGTCATCTAGTTGGTATTTTCAAAGATTCTTCAATATTTCTCAATTTTTGGAAGGTAAGTGAAAGGGGAAAACTTAACTTTATTAGTTGTGTGATAACTCAACTTCCAGTTGCAAGTTATGGCATAAATATCTATATATCCACTTCCATATGTGTGTGTGTCTGTATGTATATATCTCAAAGGAATACAGCCTTAGTGAGTTAAATGGGGAAAAAGTTGAATAAAAAAGGGATGGAGAACTGGGTTCTGTGCTCTGAATTATAACATATAAATATCAGTATAATCTTCATATTGGCAGATGAAAAAATGTTAGACTAATATTCTTTTCTGTCTCGATTCTTTGTAGTAAAAAGATAAGGGTTCTGGATTCATTAATAGGGATGATTCGGAAATTCCCTTATGAAGACCCCACTTATGACAAGCTTCAAGAAGATCTGGAAAAAATCAGAGGAAAATTTAAACAGGTTTGTAGAATTAAGTTGTTATTTTAGCACAAAAGGGTATTAATTTGTGACAAGATTTAATCTCTAAACCTGCTTAGAGATTTAATCTCTAAGCTGAACAAGTTGTTGTGCAGTTAAGAGCAATTACTGTTCTCCTTTTGGGCTCATAGTGAAAGTACTTAAAATAAGTTGAAAGTTTTCCCAATGATGGCAAATGCAAAATAAAATAAAAAATTATTTAAAAGAAAAATTGAAAATGTCATTTGTTAATGACTCAAATTACAAGTGGGACTAGAACAACAGAAAGGGAGGAATTGGGAATTTGGGGCATTTATCCAGAGAACAGATGCTTTGCAACACTTACGTGTATTCTTTTTTAGGTTTGCTCAATACTAAACATTCAGTCTGATTTTAGAATCAGTACTGAAAGATCTTCACTAACATTTTGAGTATAGCAGATGAAGATAAACATGGATGAACAAAGAAGAAATATTAAAAGAACACATAACTGGGAAGTGTTTATCTACTCCTACTCTAAACAAAATGAAAATAGTGAACAGGTGCTAAAATATTAAAGAGGGAAGAGAAAAATATTGAGCTTTTAACAGTATTTCTTATAACGTCCTTCTACAGTTATTATCTCCAGGTTTCATATAGGATCACTGAAATAAGTGTGTGAAGCTGTTAAAAAGAAATGTCTGCTTTAATTCCTCATTAACCTTGCACTGATAAGGATTAATTCTTAAGAGGAAAAAGTATTTTTTTGTAATGCTTTCTTATTTAAAGGATGTATATTATTTTAAAAGCCTGTATATGTAGTTCAGTTTACACCCTGTGTACATATTGTACTATACCATTTGTAGTAAAATATGATCTATTGCCTGCTGAGTTTACAGTAGGGAACGTCTTTGTGTGGGTAAAGGGTAGGATTGCTAATGGAATAAGAATTAATAGGAGAGAGACTAAGATGCTTGTTCTTAAAGTAGCTGCAGCTCAAAACATGAAATTTGCTCTTTACGCTAGCTCTGCAGATGGATCCAATATGCAAAAAAACCCCAAACACTAACAATTCTAAGTGATCAATAATAGACATATGACTGGCAAAAGAGTTGTGATACTGATACCAGTTTTTACTAGTACCTTTTATCTGGGAATAGCTCATTGTTTTCCAGGCTTGAAAATATGCTCGTTGATCTCATTCAAAAAATAAATGCTGCCAGCTATATAAATATTCAGCTATGTTAGCTGAAGAGAAAAAGACAGTTATTTTACCTGAAAGATATTCTGTATTGTGCTGCTAGATATCTCGGCATGCTAATCGCAAATGCTGTTATATAATTAATTGTGGAAGATCTTTCACCACAATGTGTCTGGCCAGGTCCACATGGCGTAATGTAGCTTCACACAGAGAGATTTGACTAGCATGGATATCAGAAACTATTCACAGAGTGAATTATCTTGGGGAAGGCAATGTGCTAACATGACCATATCCTTCAATAGCACTCTTTTGTGCCATCTAGACCTCACCTCTGTTTTACTTGTACAGCTTCTTTATTATACAAGAAAATAAGCAACTCGAATTTTTAAAGTGTTCACTGTGCATTCGCATCTGGGATGTGAAGGACATGCATTTTGTTGCAATTCTTGGATTACCAATGCTCAAGAAAAAAGTTGGTATGTTTTTGTTGAGTGTGTTTGTGCATACATATGTATCATTTTATTTCAAAATAATCTTTCGCTTTTTGTCTTTCCTGAATATAACAGTGATCAGAGGCCCTTTTTAATAGCTAACTGCTGTTGTAGTTTTTTTTTTCTTTTAGAATTGGCTTTTGTGTGCAAGTGTTCAAACAGTCCTGATATATATATATATATATAATGAAAGTCAGAGCCATCTAGTGGAGGAGGTTGTTACTTTGTGTAAGAAATGGATTATCCAAGTGCTGCTTCTTGTAAGAGTTTGCAAATATTTGTATGGGTAGAAGTTGCCAAAATAGAAAGTTCAGAATATACTTACGCATAATTCAACTCCTCTAATTATGTGATAGATTTCTTTGAAATAAAGTAGTATGGAGGTAGGATTTGTTTGTAGGTTGTTTGTTTTTTTTCCCCTGCACGGTGAAAATATTGGAGAAGAAGGACTTGAAACTATTTATAAAACTGTTTCTGCTTGGTTATGCGCCAGAAACCTATCAATCCCAATACTATACAGATTTGTTGATCTGTTATCAAATCTTTGAATGTAGAAACATTTTTTTTCCAGAAACAGTTATCTTCAAATATTACTTCTGTAAAATTTTACACTTTCATTATTAATTACAAGGATTGTTTCACTTCATAATTCAATAATATTAGTAAAAGCTCTCTGCCAGTTAGTAGTGCTCATTGACTTAACATTAGTGGAAAAATCTTTACAGTGGTATGTGGGTGAGTTTTTCACTTTTCCTGTGAAACTTGATTTGAGACTTTGGAAGTGACATGACAGTACGATGGTTCCTTCATTTCAGGAAGCACGAGTTTGGCTGATTTTTAATTGATATGCAACTAGACCACTAGGCGATCAGAACAAGCCCCGAGCTGCAAGTACCTGAGAAATACTGCCTTAAATGAGCTACAGTTAAAATTTCTGTTGGATATGTACTTCCATACTTAATACAAACTTTCAAAATTATTTTTTGAAACAGAAGTTGGCGGGTTTTCTGTGATGTTCAGGGATGTAACAGTGGAGTCTTCACAACGTAGTACAGAGGTATTTTCATACCTGATTTACAGATAAGGAGTTAAAGCCCAGAAAACCTCAAGAATGTTCATTTGCTGTCACAAACGTGAGATGTCTAATTGTCTCCAAATAATTTTGCATTTTAAGAACCTGAATTCTTCAGAATGTGCTACTTGTTAACATCACTTGCGGCTATGAGTACCTAGTTGTTTTGCATGTGCTTTTGCATGTGTTCTCATATGAGTCATCTAGAAAATGAGAAACATAAGAGTCAGCAAACACCCATGAAAAGGGTATTCTTAAGTAACCCAACTAGAATGCTATTGGGAAAAAGAAATCCATTTGGGAAAACCACACTTCTCAAAATAGCATTCAGTTTTGTGAGATACAAGCATATGGTTTCTCCTCTTCCAATGTCCTTCCTCTTTTGTTAACACCTTCCTAAAATCAGCAACAAATTAAAACAAATTTTATAACTGACTTCATTAATTTCACAACCTGATTATTCATCCTGTGTTCTGAATGATCGGGACTCATGTGGAAAAAAGTATTGTGTTGTAAGTAAAGGTTCTGTCAAAAGATCTATGTGTGGAAAGGCCAAATAAAGTTTGTGTGGGCCACATTAATTACTTTAATGATTTTTCTGTGTTCTTTTCTAAATAGCAAACTGGGAGGAAAAGATATGGAAAAAATGTAATCTTGTAGATTTTAATATTGGTTATTAATAAAGTTGGACATTAAGATTTGTGGCTCTGTGCTACATGGTCAAACGGATTTGAAATTTTCCAGAAGTACTTGATCTGAAAAAAACAGAGTGGAAAATTTCTGAAAAAAATTATTCAAGTTACTCAGATTTTAAAATGCATTGCTGCATTCACCACCTCTAGTTATACTTAGTGGTTAGAGAGGAATGTTTGAAACATCTTACTCACAAATTTCTGACTTACTTGGGCTGAGTTCTAGCTTGTTTTGTTTTATTCATGATCTTCTCTCAGCTGGATAAGCTGTAAAACTGTAGAATATAGATTTTTCTAAAAAGTGGGCACAAAGCTTTACTGTGTGAGTAAAGCACACAGTTTGTTTCTTTAGGGATTATAGAAGGGTAGCACATCTTAATGACTGTTTCTAGAGATATGTATTAGATATCCTGAGGTAAAATTATCTTTTTTTTTTTTTTTAATTTTCCAATAGATCAACGCTACTGTTTACACTACTGTTATTTACATTTTGACTGTAAATGCAATTTCCTTCATTGGAACAAAGGAAGATTTTTCTGTCATAAATCTACTTGTACCCTAATGTTCCACAGTACCTTAAAATAAGAACTGCTACCCTTTTAAGAGATATGACTTACCCTGCAGAAGGAAATCAAATACATCTGAATTTGCAAACTTTTAGTCTGTAAATACTATTCTTTTGACATCTTTTGTTCTCTTTGCATTTATATTGTTTTCCAAGTGCATTGTAATATAAAGTTTTAATACCCATCTCCACATTAAAGAAACGAGCATTAAAATTATGATCTTATATTTTTAAAAATCATGCAACTGAAGGCCTGGATCTAATACTGATTGTTTTTTTTAACTCATAAGCTGCCAAAGAGATATTTTTCAGTAAAGGCAGCACTGTGTTTCAGTATCTGATCTGACAGTCATAGATTCTTTCCTGTTTCGTTCTCAAAAGCGGGTACCTTGTCCTTGTGTGGCCTGTTCGAACGTTCTGTTTTTTTATAATGTCTTGTAATTACTCTGCAGTGCTGCATGCTTGAAAGGGAATGCTGATGATATTAATGAATGGCATTTTCTGGAGATAAAATTATTGGCAAGCAAGATAAAGCCAGGGCTCCTTCTCAGGGTCATTGCTTTCCAAAAGCAATTTTGCAACGATAGCAGTGTGAAGCCCTAGCATTTTTGACAAAATGCTAGCGTTTGTGTCTAATGATTTTAAGGATACAGTTTAAAATGTGTTGTAGTATTAGAGTTACCCGAAGTCCATCTGGATTAGAATCTTTATTTCTGATGAGGGTTCGTCCAAAGCACTTCAGAGACGATCATAACAAATCGGACAGAGGTAAAATTATCTGTGTGATATAGAGTAATGTATGTGTGATATTATGTCTCATCCTGATCTTCCATTAGAGAAAGGCTTTGTTTTGAAACAAAAGGTTTAGTATTTCTTCTACCGTTACAATTAAGTCTTCGTATCCTTGGTGCTATCCAATATGAATGCAAGTGCCTTTTGAATGTTACCTTTTACAGCTTCAGATGGCAGTGGGTTCTGTGGTCTAATTACATCCTAAAATTTCAGTTTTCATAATTTGGCAAGTGACCATGAAGACTCTCATTTTACAGTCTGCCAGAGGTGCTTTTCTCATGGCCAAAGTTATGACAGTACATTACCACAGAAATGTATGTATTGCAAGAGAAAATAGGGATGATATGGGAGGTGTGAATGAGTTCTGGGGCAAGTTTCCAGTGGCAAGATTTGTTGTCTAAGCATGACATGTCCGGGCCACCTGGAGCTTACTGATACTTGGGCACTTCAGTAAGTGTGTCCCAGGCCTTGGAACAGCAGAACCAGTTCAACCTCTACTGAAATCAAGTGCTTTGGGCACTATTTTGAAAGCAGTCTTCTAAGTGTTTAACTTTATGCACTCAGGTTTGAAAACGTTGGTTTCAGTAACAGAGACAAGAAGAGAACTTGGAGCTCCTTCGTTCTTTGGGACTGTCTAGACTATGCTATGCAATGAGGTGATATTTTTGCTAAAATTAAAGCTGACTTAAAATAGCAGAAACAGTCCACCTATATTAGAGCAAAGCACTGATCTCACTGATACATGGTGCTGTTAAATATGCAAATGAGCTCTGTTTTAATACTACTTATAAAATTAACTAATCTGGAGCTAACTGGGATATCACTTCAGCACCACACTGTGACTGTTCCTACCCTAACACCCTAGGAGTGTTTATTGCCAAAGTATAATAATATCCTACATTCTTGCAACACTTTTCACGCTAAGATTCCTAAAGTACTTTACCACTCCTGAATGTACATATAGCTCTATCAAACGTGGTGATATGGTGAGAAAGGAAATGTAGTCACTGAGATCATCTGAAACGTAGCCAACCTGAGGGATCTTTGAAATCTTCGTTAACATAAAGTAGGTACTAGTGCATTCTCAGATGAAATGTATGCAGTGTTTAAAAAAAATCAACTGTAGTAAGAGCCAAGTGATTCTACAGTGGCTTGCTATAAAATGTTTTGAATTGTTCTATGGTATTTCATATGCCTTTGTGATTAACCACTATGTCATTCTGTGCATCTGGTTTTAGCATGGCAAAATTACCTAGAGAAGGTTTCTGAATAAGTATGAGAAACAGCATGTAGCTTTTATCTTGAGAAAGTAGAAAGTTTGTAGTCATGCAGAATTTGTGGGGATGGAATAGTGATATATCTGAAGCATTAAACTGATTCTTATTTATAATATAATCTCAAGTTATGAAGTTTACTTTTAGAGGAATGTTGAGGTAGAAAGAAGGATTGCGTATGCAGTCTCTGCATCTCGACTCTGCACTAGACAAAATCAACATCAATATTTGTCTTTTTTTGATTGTTTAGCAGCGTACTTTACTGCTTTATTTCAGTGCGATATGTAATTAAAATTTTAACCTTCAGCATCCTTCAGATTCTGAGGAATAATCAACACGGCATGGAATCTTTCTTGACAGTAGGAACTGTGAGTCAGCAACCCTTTATTTTTTTTAGTTGCAGCTATTGTTCCAAAAGCAAGCTTTACTGCTATTGTCCACTGTTTGTCCAGCTCACGTTTACTGGACTGTGGGAACGGATTAGGGTTTCATGGCTTTTTTTTCCTTCTTGCATAAACTCTTGATCAAAGACATTCCTTGGATGACAAAACACTGTATACTGTGTCACACAGTCCTGACCAGACTGCACGAACAGTAGTTTAAAAACACATGCCTACATTGTTCTCTTTTTTTTTTTTGCAATGTATGTGCAGACACTGAATTTTTTGAGACCCTCTTTACCACCTTAAAAGTAACACACATGCAGAATGTATTTTTCATAAGCACTCAACAGTTTCTGAAATAGAAGGGAAAAATGAATATTTGTATCCAGTAAAATTAAGGATCAGTGTAACAGTATGTCATTTTTAAGGACAACCAGAGGTTGTCTGCTGCGTATTTCCTTCTTGAGGAGACCTTGGGTATGGTCCAGTTAGTTAGGACCATTGTAATTCTAAAATCACGTGGACTTATGGCATCCTTTTTGTGTCTTATCCAGAACAGCTAGGTAAGATGGAGAATAATTTGAGTGCAATTCACAAATTCATAAGCCTGC